TGTGTGTGTGTGTGTGTGTGTGTGTGTGTGTGTGTGTGTGTGTGTGTCTGTGTGTGTCTGTGTGTGTCTGTGTGTGTCTATCTAGAGAGAATGAGAGCGCAAACATGGCAAAACGGATGAAGCTGGATGAAGGTATAAGGGAGATCTTTGTTGAGATCTCAAAAAAATGCAAATTATTATTTTTTCATTGTAATGCGATAACATCTATTCAAGTACCTAGCATGCAGCAAAGGTTTTCTTTCATCCTTTCTCTGACCACCTCTGACCCTTGAATATGTTGTTAACCAATGAAAGTTCGGGTTTTCTTGTTTGTTTGTTTTGTTTGTTGCTGCCAACATTTAAAATCCACAAGGCTTTACCTGCCAAACCCCGGTTTCCATCTTCTCTTGAAAATTTGGAGGAACTGGCAACCACGTGGCCACGCCTCACCAGCCTGGCCCCCGAGGCCCCTCCACTGGACCCCAGGTTTGGAACACTGCAGACTGCCAACCACGCGGAAGTGGCCACCAGGAGGAAGCAGCAGCCATTGGGGCTCTGCCATCATCTCATCAGGGCAGAGGGGTGGAAGGAGAGGCCAAGGAGTCCGTTCCTCCTGGGCCCCTCCAAGAAGTCCTGGATCAATTCCTGATGGGTCTTAAGACCCGCAGTCCCTCGCCCCACTTACCCTTGAGAAACAGATTTTCCAACTGCCTCAGCAGCTCCGCGCACTGACTCAGCTGCTCCTGGAAACCCTCGGCCACACGGCAACCCACGTCGCTGGCCTGCAGCAGCTCCTCAAAGGCCTTGATCATGGCGTTCATGTGCCGACGATAACCGACACAGATGCCGTGGCTGTCCTTAATCTGCTGTCGTTGAAGGGAGAGCTCCCTGGCTTGGGCCTGAACTAACGAATCATATCTGATAAAAGGAGGGAAAAGAAAATGCTTGGACCGTTTTAGAATTGAATTTCCACGACTTTAACGCTAATTGGAGAAATGACAGAGCACAATTTTGAAAAGCCTGCAGCTATGCAAGTATCTATACTTTTAGAAAAATTGCAACTGTACAAGGTCACTCCTCCTTCGATTTCAAAACAGCCAACAAATGCTGGAACAAAGGTTGTTCTGCAATATTTTTAACCTTACGAAGCCCCCAATTAAAGTACAGATTGGCAAGGACTCAGGAGAACAATTAGTTTCCACTCACTCTTCAAAAATACTAGTCCGAATTGTAGAAAGGAGTGCTCCAAGGGTCAGGGGACCCAGCACAAATTCTCACGAAGGACAGAAAAGAAACTGTAAGGCAGGAAAACAAAAACAGGACTCTCTCCTCTCACGTGAAAGGTCAGAGGATAATCATAGTCCTAACTACCATTTACGGAGGGTCTACGACATGTCAGCCACTGAATTAAGTGTTTTTTTAATAAGTTATCTGTTCCCCTCAGTCTCGCAACAACTGTATGAACACCCCGTTTACAGGAGAGGAAACTGACTCTTGGACATGGCAGGTTGGTTAAACAGTGAAGACTTCTCACTCAAACACAGCTCTGCCTTCAAAGCCCAACTCTGTTATTTGCAGTGAGGGGGATGGACCTAGAGTCTGTCATACAGAGTGAAGTAAGTCAGAAAGAGAAAATCAAATACCGTATGCTAACACATATATATGGAATCTAAAAAAAAAATGGTTCTGACGAACCTAGGGGCAGGACAGGAATAAAGACTCAGACGTAGAGGATGGACCTGAGGACACGGGCAGAGGCAAGGGTAAGCTGGGACGAAGTGAGAGAGTGGCATGGACATATATACACTACCAAATGTAAAACAGATAGCTAGTGGGAAGCAGCCGCATAGCACAGGGAGATCAGCTCCGTGCTTTGTGACCACCTAGAGGGGTGGGATAGGGAGGGTGGGAGGGAGACGCAAGAGGGTGGGGATATGGGGATATATGTATACGTATAGCTGATTCACTTCGTTATACAGCAGCGACTAACACAACACTGTAAAGCAATTATACTCCAATAAAGGTGCTAAAAAAAAAAAAAAGCCCAACTCTGTCCATACAACACCGCCTCCTGATGCCACATCCATCCTTCCCTATGTGAGCCCACAAGTATTAGTCGGCAGTGAGAAAAACGCAAGTGCAGGAAAGCGTGGCTCTGTCTTCCTTACCAACTGTGGGCGCAGGAAGCTGGCCACAGAGTGGCTTGCCAGAGACCCTGACCCTTCCGTTCACCGTGTTCCCCGTTCCCTGAAACGATGATTGGCGACCACCTTCAACCCCACGTAAGCACAGAGAGATCACGTGACAGCAGCACTGCAGGTGGGGCCGGTTTAATGGACGAGAAAGAGCCCGAGCATCAGCACAGGGTACCGTGGACCGGACCAGCTGGCTCTGCGAACCCTCCCAGGCCACCTTCTCAGTCACGGCAGCCTCTCTGGGGACCCATTTCCTCACCTACAAACACACAGTTTAAGAACACCTCATTCTGGGCTTCCTGGTGGCACAGTGGTTGAGAGTCCGCCTGCCAATGCAGGGGACACGGGTTCGTGCCCTGGTCCGGGAAGATCCCACATGCCGCAGAGCGGCTGGGCCCGTGAGCCATGGCTGCTGAGCCTGCGTGTCCGGAGCCTGTGCTCCGCAACGGGAGAGGCCCGCATACCGCAAAAAAAAAAAAAAAAAAGAACACCTCGTTCTCAGGTGACTGTGAGGGTTAAGTAAGAAAAATGCCTAACCAGGGGTCTGACCCAACTGCCTCTCACTAAATACCAGCTGCCTTCAACCACATGGTCTGGGAGGTCTTGAAACATGCACTCTGGCTCCTGACAATTCAAAACAATGTGTTTGTCTCAAATTAGTGTCCAGTGAAGGTCAGCTTTACAAATGATCCCATGTTTGTTGAATCTCGTGAAGCAAAACTGTATATATCTATGCCCGTAAAACGTATCTTCGTGGCCTGAGGATTCTTCTCTTTCAACAAAGGCTTATTTCTCTAAGATGACCTTGAAGGGTAAAGATGTAGCCAGTATTTACTTTCCTCCCACCCTGCCTAGGACATCAGTTCCAGCACCACCCTCTCCACGCCGAACCCCTCCACCTCACCACCACCCCGTCAGCACAGTAAAAGCCATTAACAGGGTCAGGGGTAAACACTGCCATTCGGCAAACTTACTGTAACTCACCAAGTGACTGGTATAAAACCTTTAACCCCGAGTCCCCAACCTGAGGAGGGCAAAACCTGCTTGGCCAATTTCAGAAGACACAGACTAGTATGTGCATAGCCACTGTGCCTTGTGGCCTCACATGTCACTTCCCCACAGGAGTAGCTGCCTTAACGGTGCCTTCAAGCCTTCCCCAGCACACACCGGACCCCCATCACAGGGCAGCATTCCCTTTTAGCTCGGGGGCGCCCATCTAGTGGCAAGTTGGGGAACTGCAGGCTTAAACGTGGGAGAAGACAGGTGGGACGTACCTTGAGGGTGAGAGATCTCTGAACTTATTCTGCAGGTTATGGATTTCACCGGAAAGTTCCATGTTCAAATTCTGCTCCTTCTGCAGCTCATATTCCTGGTCCACCAGCTGCAGTCTGAGACTCTCCAGCGCCCTGCTGTCAATCATCTCTGGGGCCAGCGGGTGGAGGATTTTCATGTGTTTCACATAACGTACTTGGTGCAAACTTGAAAAGGTCATTTCTTCTTCGTCGGTACTGCCCTTGGACTTGTTCAAGCCGTCCTGGGCCCCTTCTCTCCCACACAAAACTGTGATGATGGCCTCACTGAACTGGGAGTGCTTTTGAAGCTGCATTATGAAGTTCCGGTAGACCTCGAGCTCGGTTTCCAAGTCACAGATTTTCCGTTTTAAGGTTTCTTTATCATTTGAGGTATCGCTGTTCTCCAGCTGATCGGTCTCAACCACACTGACTTGAGCGGAAAACTGACTCTTAGGACTCAAGTATGTAGCTACGGAAGTGGAATCTGGAAAGTCTTCAGAAGGATTCTCTTTGCGTGGTGGAAAGATGGCAAGGTCATCAGGCTGGTAAATTTCGGAGTCTGAAAATCAAAACACATTTATGTCGGTGTCTCCATCTCCACTGCTGAAATCCATCCCCTCGGTCCTTCCTCACAGCCACCGCCAAGCAGAAACCACTGCGGGAGCCTCCCACCAAGCCCCTCTGGCTCTTGGCCTTCCCTCTTCCCTCTCAATCCGTCCTCTTCCTCAGAGCGACTGTTCTAAAAAGTGAATTCAACCACGATAACCACCAACTCCCCCCTAAATCGAAACTTCTTCTCACAGCATCTGAGACCCTGCTTGATCTACTTCCAGGCAACCCCTGGCACCACCGACGGAGAGTCTCTACTAAATTAACCATAATTCCCTGCACACACCAGGCTGTTCATGCCTCCATGCTTTTGCATGTGCTGTTCCCCCTGCCTGTAATACACCTGGCTCCCTCCTTAACTCCTCCTCAGTGAACTCTTCATCCCTCAACACCTAGATCTGATTTTCTCCCCTCTGCAAGCCCATCTTCAAGCTATGCAAAACAGTCACTCCCCTCTGTGCTTCCACAGCGCCTCATACACAACACCCGAGACAGACGTACCATGTGCTCGGTGCTAGCATATGACTGGCAATTGGCTTATTCATTTATTTACACAGCACTTAGTTACTTGGGTTCCTCTCTCCCTCCCTGGACTGCAAGTTCCTTCCCAGCAGGGACTGGCCTTACATCTTCACATTCTCAGTGCCTTGTTCAGTACCCAGCCCAGACCTGGTGTAAATGAAGGGCTGAAAAAATACTGGGGAATGAGTGAAGGAACATCAAAACCCAGTAATTCTAAAATCCACAGCAGATGAGAGTCGTCCTCTCATTTCCACATTGACGTGTTTCCGGGGATGCCATGATGTCCCCTGTAGCAGGCTGTTCCACTGACTCACAATCCTACCAGGAAACATCTCCTTACAGCTAGTTTAAATCCCCAGGTGTGTGGCCGAACTCCTGTGGGAGGCAGAATGGTACTGCAGAAAGAATACGCAGCTTTGAAGCCAAAGAGAAGAGGGCGCATACCCAGCTTTGCTACTTGCTGGCTGCACAGCGTTAGGCAAGTAACTCACTGCCCAGAGCCTCAGTTTCCCCAAAGAGATGTCTTATGTGCTTGTTGTGAGGTTTCAAGGTCGGGCCTGAGTCTAGAGCTTCTATCCTTAACCACATACCACAATGCCTGCTGTCCAGGGAAAGCTCAGCTCGATACAAGGAGTGGTTTGAATACTTAAGAAGCAGCAGAATATAGTAGAAAAACCCATCTCTGAAATCCAATGGATCTGGTTTCAAGCTCTGGCTCTGCCGCTTACTAGCTGCGTGACCTTAGGCAAGTGACTTAGCCTCTCTGAGCCTCAGGAGCTTCATTTGCAAAATGGAGAGAACATCAATTACCGCGAAGCCTAAGGCTTCTGTTTTGTTTTCAGGATCAAATGGGACAATACCCGCAAAAAGGCTAACAGTGTCTGGCACACAGCAGCCAAGGAGACCAACTAATACGCATATCCTTTGCTTCCCTGAAGGTGTTCAAAGATGGAAGAGGATGCCTATCACAGGAGGCTCGCGAACAAAGGCTTGTGGACTTGGGGAAACACTGCCAGGGCAGCAAGGTGGGTTGGATGAGTTGACCTAGGAGACCTCTCAGAAGGAAAGGCACGTACAAACCCTTGTCAGGCTGTACATTCCAATTTCTGGGTTCTGCGGCTGCTCCTCGTGGCTTTAAGCCCATTCTTGTCTCTCTGCTCATGATGCAAATACCATAAAATACACTTTTTCATTTTAGAAAGCTGCTGCCACGGGACCTCAAGGAAGCACTCCTGATAGAGCATTTTTAGTGCACAAAATTTGTTAGAAAAACTCATCTCTTGAGGTCCTTTAGGGTGGAGACCACATCATTCACCTGCTTCTCCAGTGTCTGGCATGGGACCTGGAGCAGAGAAGGTACCCAGTAAGTCCTGCTGGCCGAATGAGTTAAGAGACACAGAGGGAGAAATCTCAACAAGGCTTTTTTCCAGTGAATCACACTCCAAGATAAGGAAATATCTTTGCTATAACAACCTCACGATAATGGAATTTCATGGCAAGAAGTGATGTTCACGCATGGGAATAAAGATCAGTTTTGATGACTTTCGTTAAGTAATCATGAGGCAAAGACAAATGTAAGCCCTGTACACGTGTCCTTTTGTGACACAGACTGTTTATAGACACACACACATGCATGCGCGCACACACACACACACACACACACACCCTCATCGTGAATGGGAGGTTCATCCTCACGTCCACACTTAGACCTCCACTTTAAACTCTGCTCCTTAAACACACTCAGACACTTGACACTCGTAATTTTGACTTGAGAAGTGTCCCTAACCAACAGCAATTTGTGACTTTGCAGAGGCAAGGATCTGACTCCTAGGCTCCCAGGCCAGTATATGGCAAGTCTCACAGCTCACATCAGCATGGCGATGCGGCTTTGCATTCTCCACTCCACAGCCCTCAATAAAGGTCCAAAGGAGGACTTTTTCATTAAAAAAATCACTGCATAGAGAGTGTGAGAGATGGAGGATTATAAGCCGTAGTGTACAGTGTGAACCTGCAGGTGTATCAAGGCGTCAGGACACATAGCTATGTGCTGGGACCTGGCCCAGGCACCCAGCTCCTCACCTATGCTGTCCACTTGATCGTCACAACGACCCTGTGAGGCATCACTCATAACCCCATTTTACAAAAGAGGAAATTGAGGTTTAGAGATAAGAACTTGCCCAAGGTTCAGGGCAAGTAAGCAGCTGTCCAAGCCTGGTGGTCCAACCATCTGAATACTGCCTCCTGATATATCCCTCCTGCAACTGGGGTCCCCATCTCAGGGGGGCATAACAAGGAAAGACAGTCCTCAACCCTTGATGTGAAGGCCAGTAATGACTGTGGCGCCCCCTTCATCCATTTCTCCAGTTTCTGTCCAGGAGCTACTGAGGAAGAGCCAGCAGTGAAGCCAGCACAGGCAGTACCAGCCTCGTGGAGGGCAGTCACCGAGCAAAGTCGCTACAAGACCAAGACGTGGCGGGCTGATGGGAATGTTCAGGAAGGCCTTCCCTGGAAAGTGACGCTTAAGCAGAGACCAGAAGGATGAGGCATCAGCTGGGCAACAGTTAAAGGGAGGAAATCGGGCTTCCCTGGTGGCGCAGTGGTTGAGAGTCTGCCTGCCGACGCAGGGGACGCAGGCTCGTGCCCCGGTCCTGGAAGATCCCACATGCCGCGGAGTGGCTGGGCCCGTGAGCCATGGCCGCTGGGCCTGCAAGTCCGGAGCCTGTGCTCCGCAATGGGAGAGGCCTCAACAGTGAGAGGCCCGCGTACCGCAAAAAATTAAAAAATAAATAAAAAAAAATAAAGGGAGGAAATTCAGGAGGAGGCAAAAGCACAGTAAGAAGAAGGAAAAAAGGTCACTAACGATGGGGATTTGAGAGGAAAGGGGAAGCTGCCAGTCAGGGGAGAAGCCTCTAGTAACCGACTAACCACGAACGAGGAATCAGAAGCTGTCCCCAGGGCCATTCATTTACATACAGGAAACAGGGCCGCTGGGGACCTTCCCACAATTCAGCTAAGGGCACTTGATTATCTGGGGGAGCGGCTTCCTCCTCAAAGCCCAGAATGCGCGCGGAAGCCTGTGACCACGCATTCAGTGTACTGACTGCAGGCCTTGGGAGCATACGCCATCGGGAACAGGGCCCACAGCTCAGTATTTCCCCAGAGACTGTCCTTCCCCACGGCCACCCCATGACAAATTTAGGATCCTGAAGACAATGATTTCTTACAGAGTGAATCAGGGCCACCTTAATGGTGATTTTTTTTTTTTTTTTAATTAAGAGAGGAAAAAAGAATCTAAGGTAAAAGAAAAAATGTTAAGCATCTGTTCGTGGTTGACTGGGATCATGAATATTGTTATTATTCTTTGGGCTTATTTGTATGCCTGCGATACTTCATACTTCTAAGAAGGATACAGCTTGCCTGGGGCCTTGCCCATGTCTCTGTTCCTTTCCCGCTGACCCCCCTGACAAACCCCCAAACCAGGTGTCAGCTCAGGCTTGCCCCTCGTCCACCCCACCCCCGGGCAGCGGGAGGCCAACCGTGCACACCTAACAACAGCCAGCACTGCAGGGATGCTGAGGACGGCTGGCTGAGGGCGAGGCCCCTGAGGGCAGGCCCTGAGTCCTCTGAGGCTGAACCACCAGAGCCCAGCCCGCTGCCTGGTAGAAAAGTGTCAGACAAACGGACTATAAGCTCCGACACCCTACTATACCTTGACTCTCAAAACCCTCAGCCTCCTCAAGTGTTACATGGGAACAGTGACCACGCCCTAGGATGGCTGTTGCAGGGCTTAGTAATAATTTTTGTATAAAACACCCCAAATGGTGCCCGACACAAAGTAGCTGTTCAAGAGGCCAGGGGGGAATGCTGACCGGTCTCGCAGCTGGCCTGCTGATCCCTGTCCCTTTCCTTGTCTCTCCAGACACACAGCGTGGCTTTGAGCCCTTCTTGCTCTGCCAGGCTGTCCTGGTCCTGGTAGGCTGCTCCCACGAGGGGCTGGGCTACAGGCATCCACGAAGAGAAAGAAAACCAGATAAAACCACAGGCCTGAAACTTAGCCAAGCCACTAAGAAGAACACAAAGATACAACAGGGAAAATAAAAACACTGGGGAGGCAAAATGCAATTCATAAGATAAAATTAATCTATCGAGCTGCCATAACAGGACATAAAAAGCATAAATATACTGCAGCTTGTCTGAAATGGTTTAAGTCCAGGCTCTTCTAAAACCATGAGTGAGAAAATGAATTCTATAGACTCATGCCCGCTTTTCCCAAGAAGAGGGGCCTCCGGGGACTTCCAGGCAGCTGCAGAAGTAGCCCCTGGCTGAGGCACCCCAGGGTCTCAGCAAGAAATCAAAACATTGTTAAGCACAAATGGCAAGCTCTGGGCAAGGTGCCAGGGCCCCTGTGCGGCTCAGCCACCTTTGCCGCGGTCCCCGCCCCAGGAGACAGGGAGCCCTCAGAAGGCGGAGACTGCATCTTCTTCCTCTCTCCCCCCTACACCCTGTGCGTGAGGCCAGGAACACAGCAGGCGCTCGGGGAACATTCACTGCATGAGTGAATGGGTGCCTGGATGGGTAGACGGATGGATGAAGGATGCTGGGAAAGGAAGGAGGGAGGGAAGAGCAATCCTACCAAAGCCCAACTTATCTTAAAACCTCAACTGTGGTAAACCCAAAAGAGAACCTAAGATTAAACAGAAAATACCTCTGGCTACGCGGCTCATCGTAAAAGCCATACGCACGGTATCATATACTAGGCTCCCAGAAACAGCAAGGAAAAGTAAAGGCTCTGCAATCAGGCAGGCTGGTTCCGATCCGGGTTGGGATGTCGGCAACAGTGTGACCGTAGCCGAGTCCCTTTATCTCTGAAACTGCTGCCTCAACGATCAAACGGGAATAATTAGCGTCCCTGCCTCAGGGGACTGTCAGGAGATTCGACAAGATCACGTACGTAAAGCGGACAGCGGGGCTCAGCAAGTAACGGGCACTCATTTTATTTTACCACCACGGGCAGGCCGAGGCCCCCGGTCACCTCCCAGGCCTGAACCGCTCTGAAAACCCCCCGCTCGGACGCAATCGGCCACCCCTGTCTCCAACCCTTCCTCAGCAAACACTGCTTCTCCTGCAACCTCCCCAGGAGTGGATGCTTCTCTCCCTTGTACTATGGGCCTGGAAATGTGTGAGCACCTCTGCTCTTCAAGGACACTTCCAGACCATTCTCTCTCTTCCCTAAAAACTCCGGCTTCACAGCTCATGCTGTGAGACTACACCACTGACGACACCCGCCTTCCTGCAGACACCCACCGTCCCGATTCATGGAATCCCTCGAGATTCATGGCCACCGTGGCCCCCGACTGCCCTGCTCCTCTCCCCCCCCCTATGGCCACCCCCCCCCCCCCCCCCGCTGAGTTGCCTATTCTTGTATCCAATTTCTCTCCTCCATTCTCTCCGGAACCCACGCCAGTAGCCCTGCCCGCTCCATGGAAACAGCGCCCTTCAAGGTCCCCAAAGGACTCCCCCAACGCTAAATCCCAAGGCCAAGCCCCAGTCCTTGACTTACTTGTCTCACTAGCATATCCGACATAGCTAATCTGCTCCCCACTCGGCTTCGGGAGGCCATGCTCCCTGGGCCGCCCACCCCACTGGCTGTTCCTTCTCAGGCCCAGGCTCGGTTCCCAGACCTACCTCCTTTGTCTCCAAGCCTCAGAGCTTCAAATACCGCAACATGCTGACCTGGGCCCAGACCTCTCCTCCAACAGGCATCTCAAGAGTTCCAAACCAGACCCCTGAGGCCCTCCGAGCCTGGCTCTCCTCAATCCTTCCACCTCAGGGTATGACATCCTTCCCGTGGTTCACATTAAAAGTGATCCTTTAGGACTTCCCTGGTGGCTCAGTGGTTAAGAATCCGCCTGCCAATGCAGGGGACACAGGTTCGAGCCCTGGTCCTGGAAGATCCCACATGCCGTGGAGCAACAAAGCCCATGCGCTACAACTACTGAGTCCGCGTGCCACAGCTACTGAAGCCCACACGCCTCGAGCCTGTGCTCCGCAGCAAGAGAAGCCACCGCAATGAGAAGCCCGTGCACTGCAACGAAGAGCTGCCCCTGCTCGCTGCTACTAGAGCAAGCCCACACGCAGCAACGAAGACCCAAAGCGCAGCCAAAATTAAATAATTGAATTAATAAATAAAATTATCTTTTTTAAAAAAGTGATCCTTTAAAGCAGAGGCCTGCCTACTTTTCTTCAAAAGCCAAATAACGAATATTTGAGACTGCAAGCCCCGGGGTCTCCACCACAACTACTCAACCCTGCATCACAGCGCAAAGGCCATCACAGACAATGCGCAAATGAATGCAGGGGGCCGTGCTCCCATAAAACTTTACAAAAACCCACAGCAAGCCTGGTCCACAGGACACAGTTTGCCAATCCCTGCTTTAAAGCATAAGTCAGATCACGTGACTCCGCTGCTCAAAACCCTCTGGCCGTTTCCAACCTTACCCGGAGTAAAAGACAAAGCCCTAGACTGCCTATGAGGGCCTAGCGGGTCTACCACCACCCTGACCCCTCTCCTCCTGGTTCCGCCCGAATATCGCCTCATCGGGGAGGCGCTCTCTACGACTCCACGTACCTTAGCAAACCCGACCCCCGCTCCACGTTACCCGTGTCCTTCACCAGCTTTATCTCCCTCCACAGCACCGATCATTTCACACACGATACATCTGCTCACGGCTTACTGCCTTCCTACCCCTGTGATATACAAGCTGGACACAGACTCGGTCTCTTTTGTTCACTATCTCCCCAGTGCCTGGCACACAGGAGGACCTGATACATCCTTTCCAAATAAATACGTAAAAGACCACTGTTGCCCTTCTTGTTATTGCATGCTGTTGTCATTCGCTTAGAGCAGAAGTTCAAAATCAGGAGTCAAGGGCTTCCCTGGTGGCGCAGTGGTTGAGAGTCCGCCTGCCGATGCAGGGGACTCGGGTTCGTGCTCCTGTCCGGGAAGATCCCACATGCCGCGGAGCGGCTGGGCCCGTGAGCAATGGCCGCTGAGCCTGCGCGTCCGGAGCCTGTGCTCCGCAATGGGAGAGGCCACAACAGTGAGAGGCCCGTGTACCGCAAAAAAAAAAAAAAAAAAAAAAATCAGGAGTCAAGAGAAGTGCTCTTGTGGATTCACGAGCGCTCTAAAGATGATGGACGGTGCTCCACGCATGAGAAGGCCCTCAGCCTCCCCCAGACTCTCAAAGGGGCAACATCTCTTACGCACCACTGTCTCGGGCTAGAGGATCCCACTGACGTGCTCCCTCCAAGTCTAGGAGTCTCACCCTGATACTCTGTAACCCCAAGGCTCTCTACTTGGGGAGCTCCCAGGAGAGCAAAGACAGCAGATTCCAAGTGAGTAGGGAGGCAGGTCACTTCTAGAAGCCGTAAGTTCAGTAGGGTTTAGAATGAGCCCCGAAGAACCCGAACAACTGTGGCCTGGCCATCCAGAGAACCCTGCAAAGAGGACTGAGGCCTCCACAGATGGAGCCCCCAGACAACTGCAAGTGAAGGGGGCAGTGACCTCACAGGCCTGGGAGCACGACCAGGCCCCCTCTGCCCCCTCTGGAATAAAATGAAAGCAACAAATGAGCTTTCCTTACCGTGTTCCCTCGACTGTATATTTGTCAAGAGTCAAGATTAGTCACTGCAATTCATGAAATTTATACTCAAACGTATTGCAATTCCAAACAACGCGGCTGACGTTTCTGGCCGTCCTGTCACGCCGTTCATCTTCTCGCAGAGGATACGGTTTCCTTGGTGCTTACCTTTCAGGAGCGCTTTTTCTGGTGCTGGCCTCCCCTCCATCACTGTTTCAGCCAGAATTAACTTCTGGTGACGTTGCTTGTTGTGAATTTTAAACTCCTTCAGCTCCCCCTGCTGCTGGGCCACCACCTCCTGGGGGGCAGGGAGCTGGCACACACTCCCTAGTGGCCGCGATGCTTTTATCAGGATGGGCAAGCGGGACTTCTTCACGTCCTGAAAGTACACCCAGGGAGACAATGAATACACTTCCTCTGGTCGCACAGTCAACACGCTCGTGCCAACCTTATAAAACAGGACTCAAAGTGCCTGTCCAGATAACGGCACCTCCGTTTATCCCCCGGCCTGCAGAGCTGTGTCTTGGCAGGTGCCCCCCTCTGACTGACAAGTGCCAAGCTGTTCCTCCCTGACACCCTCTTAAGCCCGGCCGTGTCTCTCTGAACGTTCCAGATGCTCCCTACACGGCAGTCCTTTTCCCCACACAACCTTCTGGGAAACGTTTTCTAGCTCCTTATCTATTTCCTCACTTCCCACCCTCTCCTAAGCCTAAGTCAATCTGCCTCTCCCCCCGCCAGGCCACCAGAACCACCCCTTACTCAGTTGTTCGGGGGCCACTAGGTGCCTAGTCCCATGGCTATTTCTCAGGCCCAGAGCTCCGAACCTGCCCAACCTACACATTTCTGACGGCCCACCAGCCCTCCCAAGTCAACTGAAAGCTGGGCTCCTTCATTCTATCACCCCAGGCCTGCATCGCACAGCTCCAGCACTCAGACGACCTCTGTCTCGGGGAATCAGACCACCCTCCACTTGCTGCACAGACAAAAACTGGAGCCATTTTTAAAATCCCCTGAGGGAACCTGCACAAGCCTCTTAGACAGCCTCATCCACCAGAGGGCAGACAGCAGAAGCAAGAAGAACGACAAGAGGAAAAGGCAGAGGGCTATGTACCAGATGAAGGAACAAGATAAAACCCCAGAAAAACAACTAAATGAAGTGGAGACAGGCAACCTTCCAGAAAAAGAATTCAGAACAATGATAGTGAAGATGGTCCAGGACCCTGGAAAAAGAATGGAGGCAAAGATGGAGAAGAGGCAAGAAATGTTTAACAAAGACCTAGAAGAATTAAAGAACAAATGAACAGAGGTGAACAATACAATAATTGAAATGAAAACCACACTAGAAGAAATCAATAGCAGAATAACTGAGACAGAAGAATGAATAAGTGACCTGGAAGACAGAATGGTGGAATTCACTGCTGCGGAACAGAATAAAGAAAAAAGAATGGTAAGAAATGAAGACAGCCTAAGAGACCTCTGGGACAACATTAAACGCAACAACATTCACATTATAGGGGTCCCCGAAGGAGAAGAGAGAAAGGACCCAGGAAAATACTTGAAGAGATTATAATCAAAAACTTCCCTAACATGGAAAAGGAAACAGTCACTCAAGTCCAGGAAGCGCAGCAAGTCCCATACAGGATAAACCCAAGGAGAAACACGCTGAGACACATAGTAATGAAACTGGCAGAAATTAAAGACAAAGAAAAATTATTGAAAGCAGCAAGGGAAAAACGACAAATAACATACAAGGGAACTCCCATAATGTTAACAGCTGATTTCTCAGCAGAAACTCTACAAGCCAGAAGGGAGTGGCATGATATACTTAAAGTGATGAAAGGGAAGAATCTACAACCAAGATTACTCTACCCGGCAAGGATCTCATTCAGATTTGATGGAGAAATCAAAAGCTTTACAGACAAGCAAAAGCTAAGAGAATTCAGCACCGCCAAACCAGCTCTACAATAAATGCTAAAGAAACTTCTCGAAGTGGGAAACACAAGAGAAGAAAAGGACCTACAAAAACAAACTCCAAACAATTAAGAAAAGGGTCACAGGAACATACATATTGATAATTACCTTGAACGTGAATGGATTAAATGCTCCAACCAAAAGACACAGGCTTGCTGAATGGATACAAAATCAAGACCCATCTATATGCTGTCTACAAGAGACCCACCTCAGACCTAGGGACACATACAGACTGAAAGTGAGGGGATGGAAAAAGATATTCCATGCCAACAGAAATCAAAAGAAAGCTGGAGTAGCAATACTCGTATCAGATAAAATAGACTTTAAAATAAAGAATGTTACAAGAGACAAGGAAGGACACTACATAATGATCAAAGGATCAATCCAAGAAGAAGATATAACAATTATAAATATATATGCAACCAACATAGGAGCACCTCAATACATAAGGCAACTGCTAACAGCTATAAAAGAGGAAATCGACAGTAACACAGTAATAGTGGGGGACTTTAACACCTCACTTACACCAATGGACAGATCATCCAAAATGAAAATAAATAAGGAAACACAAGCTTTAAATGACACAATAGACCAGATAGATTTAATTGATATTTATAGGACATTCCATCCAGAAACAGCAGATTACACTTTCTTCTCAAGTGCGCATGGAACATTCTCCAGGATAGATCACATCTTGGGTCACAAATCAAGCCACAGCAAATTTAAGAAAACTGAAGTCATATTGAGCATCTTTTCTGATCACAACGCTATGAGATTAGAAATGAATTACAGGGAAAAAAACGTAAAACACACAAACACATGGAGGCTAAACAGTACATTACTAAATAACCAAGAGATCACTGAATAAATCAAAGAAGAAATCAAAAAATACCTAGAGGCAAATGACAATGAAAACACGATGATCCAAAACCTATAGGATGCAGCAAAAGCAGTTCTAAGAGGGAAGTTTATAGCTATACAAGCCTACCTCAAGAAACAAGAAAAATCTCAAATAAACAATCTAACCTTACACCTAAAGGAACTAGAGAAAGAAGAACAAACAAAACCCAAAGTTAGCAGAAGGAAAGAAATCATAAAGATCAGAGCAGAAATAAATGAAATAGAAACAAAGAAAACAATAGCAAGGATCAAGAAAACTAAAAGCTGGTTCTTTGAGAAGATAAACAAAATTGATAAACCATTAGCCAGACTCATCAAGAAAAAGAGGGAGAGGACTCAAATCAATAAAATTAGAAATGAAAAAGGAGAAGTTACAACAGACACTGCAGAAATACAAAGCATCCTAAGAGACTACTGCAAGCAACTCTATGCCAATAAAACGGACAACCTGGAAGAAATGGACAAATTCTTAGAAAGGTATAACCTTCCAAGACTGAACCAGGAAGAAATAGAAAATATGAACAGACCGATCACAAGTAATGAAATTGAAACTGTAATTAAAAATCTTCCAACAAACAAAAGTCCAGGATCAGATGGCTTCACAGGTGAATTCTATCAAACATTTAGAGAAGAGCTAACACCCATCCTTCTCAAACTCTTCCAAAAAACTGCAGAGGAAGGAACACTCCCAAACTCATTCTATGAGGCCACCATCACCCTGATACCAAAACCAGACAAAGATACTACAAAAAAAGAAAATTACAGACCAATATCACTGATGAATACAGATGCAAAAATCCTCAACAAAATACTAGCAAACAGAATCCAACAACACATTAAAAGGATCATACACCATGATCAAGTGGGATTTATCCCAGAGATGCAAGGATTCTTCAATATACATAAATCAATCAATGTGATAAACCATATTAACAAATTGAAGGAGAAAAAACATATGATCATCTCGATAGATGAAGAAAAAGCTTTTGACAAAATTCAAAACCCATTTATGATAGAAACTCTCCAGAAAGTGGGCATAGAGGGAACCTACCTCAACCAAATAAAGGCCATATATGACAAACCCACAGCAAACATCATTCTCAATGGTGAAAAACTGAAAGCATTTCCTCTAAGATCAGGAACAAGACAAGGATGTCCACCCTCACCACTATTATTCAACATAGTTTTGGACATCCTAGCCACGGCAATCAGAGAAGAAAAAGAAATAAAAGGAATACAAGTTGGAAAAGAAGAAGTAAAACTGTCACTGTTTGCAGATGACATGAACTATACATAGAGAATCCTAAAGATGCCACCAGAAAACTACTAGAACTAATCAATGAATTTGGTAAAGTTGCAGGATACAAAATTAATGCACAGAAATCTCTTGCATTCCTATACACTAATGATGAAAAATCTGAAAGAGAAATTAAGGAAACACTCCCATTTACCACTGCAACAAAAAGAATAAAATACCTAGGAATAAACCTACCTAGGGAGACAAAAGACCTGTATGCAGAAAACTATGAGACACTGATGAAAGAAATTAAAGATGATACCAACTGATGGAGAGATATACCATGTTCTTGGATTGGAAGAATCAATATTTTGAAAATGACTATACTACCCAAAGCAATCTACAGATTCAATGCAATCCCTATCAAATTACCAATGGCATTTTTTATGGAACTAGAACAAAAAATCTTAAAATTTGTTTGGAGACACAAAAGACCCCGAATAGTCAAAACAGTCTTGAGGGAAAAAAACAGAGCTGGAGGAATCAGACTCCCTGACTTCAGACTATACTACAAAGCTACAGTACTCAAGACAATACGGTACTGGCATAAAAACAGAAACATAGGTCAAAGGAACAAGATAGAAAGCCCAGAGATAAGCCCACGCACCTATGGTCAACTAATCTATGACAAAGGAGGCAAGGATATGGAATGGAGAAAAGACAATCTCTTCAATAAGTGGGTGCTGGGAAAACTGGACAGCTACATGTAAAAGAATGAAATTAGAACACTCCCTAACACCATACACAAAAATAAACTCGAAATGGATTAGAGACCTAAATGTAAGACTGGATACTATAAAACTCTTAGAGGAAAACATAGGAAGAACACTCTTTGACATAAATCACAGCAAGATCTTTTTTGATCCACCTCCTAGAGCAATGGAAATAAAAACAAAAATAAACAAATGGACCTAATGAAACTTAAAAGCTTTTGCACAGCAAAGGAAACCATAAACAAGACGAAAAGACAGCCCTCAGAATGGGAGAAAATATTTGCAAACGAAATCAACGGACAAAGGATTAATCTCCAAAATATATAAACAGCTCATGCAGCTCAATATTAAAAAAACAAACAACCCAATCCAAAAATGGGCAGAAGACCTAAATAGCCATTTCTCCAAAGAAGACATACAGATGGCCAGGAAGCACATGAAAAGCTGCTCAACATCACTAATTATTAGAGAAATGCAAGTCAAAACTACAATGAGGTA